GCGGGGAATGTCTCGCCTCCCGCCCCAGCACGGGGAGACGCCCCAGACCGGCGGGCCCCTGGGGCGGAGGAGGGCAGGCGCCCGGCCCCCGGCGCGCGCCGCGTGTGCGGGCGCGCGTCCCTCGCCGGCCCGGGGCATATATATCGGTTGCCTGGTGCAGGCGCCCCTCTCGGCATGCTCCCGGGCAGGGCCCCCCGGGCCCCTGCATGCGGGGAATGTCTCGCCTCCCGCCCCAGCACGGGGAGACGCCCCAGACCGGCGGGCCCCTGGGGCGGAGGAGGGCAGGCGCCCGGCCCCCGGCGCGCGCCGCGTGTGCGGGCGCGCGTCCCTCGCCGGCCCGGGGCATATATATCGGTTGCCTGGTGCAGGCGCCCCTCTCGGCATGCTCCCGGGCAGGGCTGTCGTTCGCCTTGGCCTCGCGGCCGGCCGGCGCGCGTGCGTCCTGGACGAGCCCCCCGCCCCCTGGGCCCCGGCGGGGGGGGGCCTCGCGAGCACACGCGAGAGCCCCGGCATCCGGCGCCTGGCCGGGGGGGGGGGCGGGTGCGCTCCGCCGGCCGGTGTGGAATCGTCGGTTGGCCGTTGACTCGGCCGGAGAAGCCTCCGGGAGGGGGAAAAGGCCGGAGTTTTATTTGGCCTCTGGAATGTGCGCCCGCCTCGGTTCCCCGGCGCCGGTGCCAGGCCCGGAGGCGGTGGCGGAGAAATCCCCGGCGCAAGCAGCCCCCGGCGCCCGGCGCCCGGCTGGCCTCCCCGCGTCCGGGGCCTCTGGCTGTTGCTGCGGTTTGCGGGAGCGAGGCCCTCGGGGCTGGCGTTTCGTCGGCCGCGGCGCGCACACGCGCGCGCTGGCCTGGGCCAACGCCCTCTCCCGGGCCCGGCATTCCCGCCTCCCCCCGCCTCCCCCCCCCCCGGGCCCCTCCCCGGTGCCGGGCGGCGTGAGGGGCGGCTGATCGCCCTCGTGCCGGAGCCGGCCCGGCCGGCTGACTGGGCCCGTCGTCAGCCTGGGGGCGAACGTGGCCCGATCATCGGCCCTCGGGTGCCCGGCACCGGGGAGGGGCCCGGGGGGCGGGGGCTGGGCGCGAGAGAGAGAGAGAGAAGCGGAGAGAGAACAGGGCACCCGGTGCGCCGGGGGGGGGGGGGGGCTCAGCCCACGCCGCGGCGTCGGCTCTCGCGTGCGGCCAGGCGCCGACAAGTGCGAGCCCGGTGCGCGGGGGCGGAGGGGCGAGAAGGGCCTGCCCCCGCCGGCCGGCGGCCAATCGCCCAGCCCGGCCCCCCTCTTGGACCGGGGGCTCGGACGCGCGCCGCGCGGGGCGGCTGTTTCACTTGCCCTTCTGCGAGCGTGCGTCTGTGTGCGGGTGTGCGTCCGTGTGCGGGTGCTCGCCTGGCGCACTTGCACCGGGCCTGCTCCCTGGCTCCCGGGTTCCTGGCAGGCGGGCGAGGGGCTCGCGCCCACTTTTAGGCCGGACGGGCTTCCGCGGAACCGGCGCCTGGCAGGCCCCCTGCGCGCTCGCCCGCCCTGGAGGGCCTCCCCCGCCCCGCCGCCCCCCCCCCCCCCCTGGGCGGAGAAGGGCGCCAGCTCGGAGACGCGAGGCGCCCCTCATGGCGGGCGCATGGTCTCCAGGAGGCCGTGCGCGCGCCGGGCATTTCCCCCCCCCCTGAGCAGCCCCCGGCCGGGGGCGAGGGCGTTTGTGCTCCGGAAGAACCGGCCCCGCCGGGGATGCTGGGGTCCTCCTGTCTCCCAGGGGCGCGGCACGGCCGGGGGGCGCCGAAGGCGCGAGGGACCCCCGGGCCGGGAGTGTCAGCACCACCGCCGGAGGTCGGTGGGGCTCGCGGAGGTGTCGGCGACGGCGCCCCGCCCCGGGGACATGTGCCGCCTGGGGGCCCCGGACAGGGGG